ACCCTGGGATCATGACCGGAGCCGAAGGCAGACGCCTAACCATCTGAGCCACCCAGGTGCCGCATTAAGTAGGATCTTCTATATGTTCCTTTGTGTCTGACTTTTGCTTGACATAATGTTTTAAGATTCATACATGTTCATTTTTTTTTCAATGCTGGATAGTATTCTTTTGCACAAGAGTGTTGATGAATATTTGTGTTATTTGCAATTTGAGGGTATTATAACCAATGCAGCTCTGAATATTCTTGTACATTAATCCTGGTATATAAAGGAATGCATTTTTATAAGCTATATGGCAGGGAGTAGATTTCCTGTGTCTTAGGGTATATACAGATATATATACCCTGTATATATAAAGTATAAAGGAGAATGCTTTAGTTTTCCAAAATGTTTATGTAAAGCTCACACTCCTACCAGCTATTGTTTGAAACTTCCAGTTCCTATACATCCTTTTTAACACTTGGTATTGTCAGACATTTTAATTTTCAGGCAACCTGGTAGAGGTGCAATAACATCTCATTGTTTTAATTTGCATTTTTCTGATTACTAACGATAAGCACCTTTTCTGATGCCTATTTTCCATTTGAATTTCCTCTTTTATGTAACAGCTGAATCCTTTGCCCATCTTTCTGTTGCTTTGGCTGTCTGCTCTCTTTTATTATTGATTTGTAAGGATTTGTTATAGATCTGTATATTGACTCTTTTTAGGCTATATGTGCATATACGTATATACATACACACACACTTCATGGGGGGGAAAGAGAGAGAGAGAGAGAGTAGATACACCCCCCACACCTCCCCACACACAATCTATAGCCTGCCTGTTTACTCTCTTAACATCGTCTTTTGAAAGACAGCCATTCTTAAATTTAAAATAGTTTATTTTGCCAACCTTTTCCTTTATTGTTAGTGCTTTTGTATCTTGTTTAAGAAAAATTTGGCCTAGCAATCTATTGTTTAATAAAAGTATAACAAATTATATGTGCATTCTTTTATATTGTCATATCACCTGTGAGTAATTATATTTTTGTCTCTTTTCCATTCTTTATCCTTTTTTTTTTCTTGCCTTGCTGCACTGGTTAGGACCTCAGTATAATATTGCATAACAATGGTGATAGTGGAAATCATTGTTTTTTTCCCAATTTCCAACATTTTACGATTAAAAGTGAAATACAGTGTTGACTGTAGGATTTTTGTTTTGTTTTTGTGAATGTTGTTAATGTTGTAAATTACATTGATATATTTTTCTCCCCGACTTTTTTATTCTGAAAAATTTTGTATGAGTTGCAAGTTTCATTGAATAGCATTTCTACTTGAAATAGCAGGCCACAGACAAATTATGAATATTCAGATTTAGATATTTGGCAGACATTTTCTTAAAAATGAATGAAGTGAGCCTGTCACTTCAAGAAAATAACAGGCAGCGTATTTTACTAATGACGGAAATTGAGCTTTCAAGTCAAAATTAGCATTTTGGAAAACTTATATTTGTCACCATCAGCTTTCTGTTTCTCAAAACTTAAAGGCTTTTCTGAGGAGGTCAGTGATACTATCAATGAACGTGTTTAAAATAGATGCTGGGAAGTGTCAACACTTCAAATATCGGCATAACTCATTACACTAATATTTTTCAAAGACCAGTGTGTGATGTTACAAAATCATGTATGCACAGTGTTAAAGATCCATTAAAAGTGTAAGATAGACCAATGGATTCTAATGTAATAGTAGAAAATTCTATTGATATGGTTTCAGGTTCCTTATTGCAAATAAAATTTAAGAAATCACCACTTGTTAAATTTTGGTATAGATTAAAAGAAAAATATCTACAATTATCTTCCTTTCCCTACTACATATCTTTGTGAAGCTGGATTTTTTTCTTCTGCTTCAACCAGAAACATACATTGCAGTCATTGAAAGCTGAAACGGATGAGAGAATCCTGCTATCTTCAATCTAGACACTGAAGAAATTTGTAAAAATGTAATATAAATAATGCTAGTCTTTTTACTACTTGTGTGAAAAATATAGTACTTTTCAGAAAAGAATGTGTTATGTTAACATGAAAGGGGTATATTATTATTTTTAAATGAATTGATATTTTTAAATTTTCTCATTTTCAATTTTGTTTGGTAAATACCGATATGTGTTCAACTCATGTAAACAAAGTGTCCTTGGAATCCTCAATAATTTTAAGAGTATAAATTTTACCTGAGACCAAAACGTTTGAGAACTAGGAACAGTACCAGATGCCCTGAGCTTATGAAAGTATAATGTTATCTGGCACATTTGTCCTCTTCCCATGACAATGGAAGAACCTGAAAATATTTTAAGTCCATTTTACCCCTCCCAAATTATATGCTCTTTTATGGTAATTTTAATTCTAGAATTTCTTCTTTGTTTTTGTGTTTATGAAGCTTCACTATGCTGTGTTTAGATGTATAGATGTATATTTTTATTTATTTTCCCTAAGAGTCATTAGCTTAGCCTTTCAAATGTGTGGATTCTTATAAATTGTGGAACTTTCTCAGCCATTATCCTCTGTTCTATCTCTCCTCTCCTCTGGTATTTCAAATAAATACATATTAGGCCTTCTCAGTGTGTTCTCTGTGTCTCTTATCCATTTTTTTAATCTCATGTTTTATTCTGAACATTTGCTTTTATCTTCTTTTTAAAAATTTTTTAAGAAGATTTTATTTACTTATTTGAGAGAGAGAAAGAGCATGAGCAGGGGGAGGGACAGAGGGAGAGGGAGAAGCAGACTCCCTGCTGAGCAGGGAGCCTGGACACAGGGCTTATTCCCAGGACCCCGAGATCATGACCTGAGCCAAAGGCAGACACTTAACCAACTGAGCCACCCAGGCGCCCCTTGCTTTTATATTCTAATTCACTGATTCTCTTTAGCTTTGTCTAATTTGTTATTAAAAACATTCATTGAGTTCTTCATTTCATGTACTATATCAGTTCTAGAACTTTTTTTTTAGATTTTACTTATTTATTTCAGACAGAGCAGGAGTGGGGGTGAGGGGCAGAAGGAGAAGACTCCCCCCTGAGCAGGGAGCCCAACGTGGGGCTCAATCCCAGAACCCTGGGATCATGACCTGAGCTGAAGGCAGATGCTTAACCAACTAAGCCATCCAGGCACTGCAGTTCTAGAATTTCTAAGTGGTTCTTTTTTACATACACTCCATCACTTTTTATAGTTTTCATTTCCCTGTCAACATTTCACTTGGCTTTTATTTCCTTGAATGTAGTGAACATAGATTGTTTCATTCTGTACCCTGTAATTCCATATGTGGAGCTCCTATGGGACTCTTTTCTTTTCTTTTTTTTAAGATTTTATTTATTTATTTGACAGAGAGACATAGCGAGAGAGGGAACACAAGCAGGGGGATTGGGAGAGGGAGAAGCAGGCTTCCTGTGGAGCAGGGAGCCTGATGCGGGGCTCGATCCCAGGACCCTGGGATCATGACCTGAGCTGAAGGCAGCCGCTTAACGACTGAGCCACCCAGGCACCCCTGTTTTGGTTTTCTTTATTGATGCTTTGTCTTTTCATATGTCTGGGTTTTAAGATTGTGTGTTGGGCATCATATTTGAAATTTTATTTGTAGCAATAATTTGAGGCCTAGTATGCTATTATCTTCCTCCAGAGAAGTTTTGTTTGTTTGTTTGTTTGTTTTGTTTTTGTTTTTGTTTGCTTTTTCCAGGTGTCTAAGGTTATTAGAAGTTCAGGACTATATAATGCAATTTCTGAAATTGATGTTTTCAGAGCCAACAATCAGCATAAAAGAAGATGACAGATTTTGCTAGACTGGTTTATTTCAAACTTACTTGTAGTATACATCTTAGGAGTCCCAGTCTAAAGTAGATGTGGATTTCCCCTTTTGGGGCTTTGGATTCTGATTTCTGCCAGAAGCAGAACTCAGCTATTTATTCCAGAGCCATAATGCCTCGAGGGCAAAAGCAGCCTTTAGTGTTGGTCTACCTCCCCAAGTTCCAGACTTCTCCAGGCTGGCAATTCCTCACTATCCTAGTAAGTCTTGGATGATCTTAAACAGATTGTTTTTATATTTTTTTCTAGCTCTTCTAGTGATCTGCCATGGAAAGTTTGTCTGAAATTTGTAAGTTAATTTATTGAATCAGATAATCTCATGCTGGTACTTTTTAACAATAATGAATTTGAATGTCCTTTGTACTTTGGTTTTTCATTTCCAAACTAGAAGGAATGACTTATACTATAGTTATTTCCTGAAGCCTGAGCCAGTTGAAAGCCTATATAAGCCACATATTTCTTCTTATTCCTAAAATAAGCATAGTCTTAGGATTTACAGTACAAGCATATCTTTCCCTGTCTCCAGTGAAATGAACCAAACCCCACTGAGACATTCCTGTCTCCTTATCTCTTCCATTTGCTCATTTTGCCACCGTTTCCTTCCACTTGCAGCTGGGAATCCATGTTACTAGTGCTCACAATTATTTCTCAACTATGAACTTTCAGTAGATCACTTGCCACAATCTCTAGCCCTGGATCAAGCTGGCTAGCTTCTTCATTCCTGCCTCTGTGCTCCTGAACAGCACTAGAAAAATTGAGTGATGTGTTAAAATTAGTCAAATCAGTTGTAAGTGCTGCTCACATTCATCAAAAATCTATAATTCCTAAATGCTGGCTGTGGCACTGCTCGCAGTCCTTTTGATTCTTGCTCAAAATATTCTCTTTCTCAAAAGTCCATCCTTACAGCTCGTCCTCGTTAGTATAGTGGTGAGTATCCCCGCCTGTCAAAAGTCCATCCCTCTCCTGAAGTCGGTTAACCTTACCTCTAAGTTATCCCATCACTCAATAATTAACCCTTACTTGCCCTTTAGAAATGCAAGGGAATCAGAAGTGAACTCTAATTGCAGTCCTCTCTTGTAAGGTTTCTCCTCTCATTCTTAATTCTTTTTTCCTGTCTCAGAGGAAGAAGTGTTTCTATCTTTTCAAAGGATAACCATTCAACTATACTCTTACATTATTGACTCCTATCTTCCCGGGATTCTCGCTCCATTCATGGGCCCTTCTCTTTTATTTGCAATCATTCCATCTTCACCAACTTCTTCCCCTCAAACCATCCTTCAGCCTAGAAAATGAAACAAGATGGGAAAAAAATTGTTGAACGGACTTTCAATATATCCCTAGCCTTAAATGCTGGCAGAAATTCCACAGGACAATTAAGAAAATTTATAAGGTAACATGATTTTCTTCCTTACTTCCAAAGCAAATTCTAGCCAGAACATACAGAGGACCTCTAATGCCATATAATTAACATAACTTTGTGGGAAATAAAAGCTCTCATGTTTAGTACTACATGCATACATGCATACTTCCAGTATCTTCTCCATTTGCTCTTCATAGCCTCTGACTTCTTGGGTTGATTTCAGTTGTAAGTGCTGCTCACCAATCTAGTAGTATTCAAGGTTCTAATTGGCAAGATTTACTACCCTGGGATCTTCTCCACATAGTACCCCAGGGATCCTCCTTTACCATTTTGTTTTTCATCTCTTTAATCAGGCATTATTGTCTCCTCATTTATCATTGCCAATTCCTCTAGGACAATGTTTCTCAAAGCTAGATACCCGTTGGAATCATTTGCAGACCTTGAAAAACTTATTTATAGGCGCCGTCCTTAAGAGTTGTCTGATTCAATTGGTCAGGAGTGGAGTATAGCCATTATAATTTTTTAAAAGCTCCCTGGTCATTGTTGAATTCTCTTGAGAACCATATCCCTAATTGAGTGATGTGTTAAGATACCAATATTATAGCATGGATCAGTGTTCTTTCTTACTTTCTTATATGACATAGTGGGTAGAACATCAGCACTATGTTCCAAGCACATCTTCCTGAGAGGAAAATAGTCCAGAGGTAAGTTGGTCACAAAATTAGTCAAATGTTATGACCTTCCAGTGATAGTGAAATATGAATTATTTCCATTATTCCAGTCCATAGGAAAAAACTCTTGGTTTGAGAAGACTCTTTTTTTGCTTTCTACTCCAGAGAATGCAAGCTGTTTTCCTTTGGCATGCCTACATGATTATATAGATCCATTTCCCTCAAGGAACTTCCAAATAAAAAGAACACATCATCTATGGCAACTGAGAAACATAGCCTTATGTTGCCTGTTTTAGAATTATTTTTGGACATTAACATTTTTTTTTAAGATTTTATTTATTTATTTGAGAGAGAGAATGAGATAGAGAGAGCATGAGAGGGGGTAGCGTCCGGAGGAGAAGCAGACTCCCCGCTGAGCAGGGAGCCCGATGCGGGACTCGATCCCGGGACTCCAGGACCATGACCCGAGCCAAAGGCAATCGCCCAACCAACTGAGCCACCCAGGCGCCCCGACATTAACATTTTTATGTACCCCCATATTAAGTTTTATGCTTAGATGTGATGCCACAGGTAGGAATCAAGGTAAATGCCATATCCCAAATCCACAGAGACTCAGAGCCAAACTGTGGGTTATCAAATCTGTCTTTTTATGTGCTGTTACTCGTAGTGTGTGATTTATATCAACTGCTTTTGAAAGCTGTGTTAACCGAAAGACGCTGGTTTGTAGAGGGGCAAGGAAGTACATTTACAGGCTGGCTTGGTCGAACTGTGCTGATTTCTCTCTAGAACAGTCTTCACAATTCTTTGCTCACAGTTAGAGGTCTGCTGAAAGTGACTCAGTGTAGATGAAAACAGCTTGCTTAATCATTCCTGAAACACGGGAAAAATTAAAATACATTTTTTTCTTTGTCAAGCAATAAAAACAATGCCAGATTGTTAATGCTTCTTTTGTACCTTTCACTTGAAAGACCTCAAAAGAACATCAAGGAGAATAAAGGCAAAATCTATTCCCCAATGGCATCATTATACATGTTGAAGCCTCTAAACACTAAAACTCTAAAGACATTCGTGAAGAGTAGAGGAATAAATGATAGCAAACTGAAGAGTGCATCTCTGGAGCTTTGTTCAACTTGCTTTGTTCAAATTCATTCAAATTGGATGATGAAAAGCAAAGATCTCATTTGTTTCAATATTAAAGTAGTAAATTAGTGAGTGGTGAGTTGCTAATTGTCCTGTAAAGCATTTAAGGTGCCAGGAGTGTCCTGTGGCCAATATTTTAAATTGCATTCTTATGGTTGAAATGAAAGCAACCATTAGAGTAGTGTAAAACAATGTTTTTAATAATTTAAGTTAGTTCGATTCAAACATGATTTTCATTCTGAAATATTTGTCGAAGCTTCTGTTTTTATTTGAGATGAGCAAGTTTCATTTTAGACTTCAAGGCGTCAAATAGGAATTCATGTTCAGTATGGGGCTAGCGTGGGGAGAGAGATTAACACTCTCCAGTGTAATGTTTCATCCCTGGCTGTGTCTGCTTGCTTCTGGGTGCAAAATTAACAGGTTTGGTTAAATTTTACTTGAGTTTTTGGTGACCTTTTCTAATCCTGGCTGTTTCATAATTTAATGTCTTGACCTTCGTTTTCCATAGAGCCACCTTAGTGATAAAGGCAGAGATTTAATAACTAGAACTGGTTGACAGGTGACCTTTCATACATGGCCATTTCTCTTTGCTGGAGAAACCACACTGTTTTGCAAGTTTTAATTCACAGATTTTAATTATCTATTCTATAAGCTCTAATTATCTTGTCTATAAGCTTATTCACAGAGAAAAAAAGGAAAGGTTAAATATTTCATTCTTCTTGCTGATTAAAATGTAAAGTGCTTGGCAGTTGTCCCAATATATCATTCAAAAAAGACAGGGCAATTTGTCAGTTTCTTACCCAAAGAAGCAAAAAGGGGAATTTTCCAGAGTTGTTAAGGAGCAGGATGAAAAAAGTGGTTAGGAGAGTGAGCGGTATCATTAGCAGGATGAGGGTAACTGCGCCCACATGTGTGTGAGTGTGTGTGTGTGTGTATGTGTGTGTAAATTTGGAGCAGAAAAACAGAATAGTTCTTTAACTATATGTGTACTAATCTGAAGAGAAAAGTAACCAAAAAGTCACAAAAGGATAGACCTGCCAATCAGAGTGGGTGACGTGTTAGTTTTGTTAATTTTTCCTTTTTTTAAAAAAAAAAAAAACCTGGTAGAGTATCAATTGCGCATGTCATGGTAAATTGGTTTCTAGGGTCCATATAAATAATATTTAAACACAGGAAAATAAAGCTAATTATTAAAATGTCACAGATTCTTAAAAAGAGATAAAGAAGAGCCAACCTTCCTCCCACCCTCCCCCATAGGATCAGAGAATATAGAACCTTCTTGATTTCCCTGGACTTGCATTCTTCAGCATTTTTGCAAACAAAATTCATTTTTGTGCCAAATACTCATGCTTCTAATAAAATAAAAGTAAAATTTCGCATGGCTGTAAAAGGGCCATAGTAGGGCCATAGTCTCCCAATCAGCCAGTGGTCTGGAATCTTCATAAGTACAGAGGGAAGAATGACTCATTGAGTTAGAGAAAGGCTTGGCAGTCTTGAGCTAACTTTGATTCCCAAGTACTTGAAAGCAGCCATGTGGGCTTCTAAAGTGAATTTACCTCAAGGAGGTTTCCATGCAGGGGGAGATATTCCCTTTAGCCACGGAGATCAGCTTCTGAAAACATCATCGCCATGTCCTTTTTTCCCTCAGATATGGATTGTAATCACTTAATGCTTCAGAAAGAAATGCAACTCACCGCTGTTATGAAAAAGTTTTGAAAAACAAATTAAGTAAAGATGTGGGGAACCATTTGAGGCTAATAAAATTGGTCATGATGAGTTTATCTTCAACTGAATTTCAGCCAGATTTCAAATCAAAAATAAGAAAAAATTTTCTGCATAATTTCTTAGACCATGCTAATACCTTTGCCAGAGAAGAGAGGTTAATTCTGCTCACATGCAAACCCTATATTCCTGAGGAGCCTCTCATCAGTTGAGAAACATTATCCTCTTTTGGTGAAATTCTTGGCCACCACGATGTTTAAAAGCATTAATTTATAATTTAGTATCAATAATTTTAATATAATAGTGGGTGAGATTTGAGATGTTTGCCTAATTCTCTATTAGGAATGATGCAAATTAATAGTAAATATTTCTTTAATATCTTTCCCTTTGTCCTGCGAGTGCATTTTATGAAAGATAATATGTGCTCTTTTTTTTAACCTGAAAGATGTCTAGTACCCACTGGATATCATGTTCATCTCAATTTCCTCAACTCTATAATGGGAAATAAAAACAATCCAACTTATGAAGAATATATTATGAGAATGAATGGAATAAGGTAATAAAGTGCTGGGCAGGATGAATGGCCCATAATAGGTGTTCAATCGTGTTTCTATCAGTAAGTATAATACACTATGCTTAGATGTCTTTCTCATTCTGTTTCTTCCCTTCCTCCCTCTCTCATCCTTTCCCTGTGCCCGAGACAGGAATAAAGTCCTTTTTTCTTGTAAGGAAGCAAGTGTCAGGATTCATTTCAAGGCAATCCCTTAGGCCTTTAAAAAAAAATAAAATAGTGTATGAATTGACCCTAGTTAATCATCGAAATCCGCTGTGCCTCAGAGCTGTATACTGAGATTAAAAGCTCACACTGATTAGAATTCTAAAATTATTTTATCCTTCGTGGTGCCTTTCACAGAATAAGTACTAAGTAAAAATTACTTGGTTGTTTAATAGATGTTGCCAAATTCTTAACTTTCCCCAAGCTGAGTGTTCATAATCAGATATGCAGGTATAGAGTTTGTATATTTTTGTGAGGGAGAAATACCAAATCAAATATAGTGCTCTTGCCATTAAAAAAATTCATCATTTTATACTTTAAATAAAAGGACGTGTTCGGGGGCGCCTGGGTGGCTCAGTTGTTAAGCATCTGCCTTTGTCTCAGGTCATGATCCCAGGGTCCTGGGATGGAGCCCTGTGTCGGGTTCCCTGCTCAGCGGCGAGTCTGCTTCTCCCTCTCCCTCGCCCCCCCCCGCCCCCCGCTCATGCTCTCTCTTGCTCTATCTCAAAAAAAAAAAAAAAAAAAAACTCAAAAAAAAAAAAAAAAAAAGAAGGAAAGGACGTGTTTGATTTTTGTGGGCTTTTAACAGGGACACAGTTGCCCAGACACAGTCGGCTGAATATTTGTGGCGATATCAGTTTATAGACACAGCGCAAGCCCAACCAAAGCATTTGGCTTGATGATGCTTTGAGTGTACAAGACAAAAAGATGAAAGGATCAAGTTTGTTTTTAAAGAAAAGAAATAAAAATGTAAGGACAAGTCAACTAAAAAGGAGAATTCAAAATTAAGATAGGGCTTGGTACAGTGGAGCTGGCTAAATCTTTCCAGAGGTCTCAGAAAATCCAGGGCCTCAATCTGGGGAGAAACTGCTTACCGAGGCAGAACTGAGCAAGTGGAGACATATGGAATATATTTTTGAGCAAGGGCCACAAGTCAAATAATATAAACGAGTTCAAGAAACAGCAGTACATTTTAACAAAGAAAGTTGAGATCACAAGATGCAGTGATAAAGCTAATAAAAGGAACTGAGATAATCAGATAAGAGCGACTCTTGGGTCAAACTGTCCATTCAAGCCTAGGTATTTCTTTCTTTTTTATCATGGCTTACCATAGTTTGAAGTGTCTTCAAATGTATAAATGAGTCCCTTGGGCCTTAACAAGCTCTTGGTGTTACCTGAAGCTTCTGATTATCATTAGGACTGTTGCATTCATCCAGCCTGGCTCTCGTAACATACTGTAAAATGGTCCCTGTGACCAAGTGGCAAATAGAGCATCACCATATGCAGCCATGTCTCTTGGCACCTCATTTAGGATGTCAGGCAGCTGGGCAGACTGTGGCTAAGCAGGATAGGTACATGAAAGGCTCTTACGACTCTGGCTATGGTGACAATATATAAAGGAAAGGGACGACTTAAAGATCACCACCTATCCCCCAAGCCATTACATTCCTAGCCCTCTGCCCAATTACATATTTGTTACATAAACAAGAGGCTGTGGTTGCCAATGTTTGCCCTCAAGTTGTTAGTCAGCTGCTGACCTCATAATCTGCACAGCTGCGGCCTCCCAATATGTTGTCATGAAACAGATTGTGATGTCTTAATTGATCACTTTCAGAGGTTACAATTGTCAAGTGAAACCAGTATGCTGATTCTTATTAGTTAAATTAAGGCCTGTTATAGCACAACCAGCTAATTCACTCAACGACTAGGAAATCCGATGCAAATTTGTAGATCAGAACACATACAAGGCTCTTTGTATCTTTGTTCTTTTTGATTTTTTTTTTAATTTGTGGAGACCATACCCAAAAATGCTTTTATTATACAGTGAAGCAACTTCTTGGAACAGAAAATGGAATGTAACCTCCCTGAACCATATGCATCTTGGTGATAAGTTGGAGTGTGCCATATGACACACACAGTTTAAATCAGGCATTGATTTGCATGACTCTAAGTGGGTTTGGAGGACTTAGCTAAGTGTAATGTATGTTAGGCCCTGCTGCAAATCGTCTGGCAGGAAGAATATTGTGTTCTTCCTTATTGCCCTGAAAAACTATAGGCTCCTGGATGCGTAAAGGTCTTAGATCACTATCCCATCCCAAGAGGCAGCCTCTTATGCCCCCATCTGGCCATCAATGAAGTCTTCACTATGGCACCAACCCACAGAACCCATTTCCAAGTTCCCTAATATACTCACCCACCTTGAGCAGACCTATTCTAACCTGCTGTTCAGATTTCTTATGGTAGCGGGGGTGATGGACAGTCCCTTTGATAGCTGAGTTTTAAGACACTTCATAAATGGCGAGACCTCAGTGGCATGTCCAATCCATGCCTGAGCCTACGTTGTTTCATGTCCAGCCCTGTTCAAACCTTACATGATTCTAACAGTTCAATGAATCTCTTTTTATATAGGAAAAAAAGAAACTTCATAAGCGGACCTTTGTGGACTTAACCAGTCAAGTTTTTTTTTCAAAATCCTTCATTTTGACATTAAACAAATGGAAACATTTGTCCATTTAGCATATTTCACAGGTGCACAATAAAAACTAAAAGAAGTAAAGTTAAATTAACCTAATAACTGCTAGCATCCAAAATACAGTGGGAAACACAAGGATGTTCATCAAAGCAATTTTATAAAGGAAAAAATTAGATAATATCCAAATGCCCAGCAGTAGGCAAATAGGTACATTATGGTATGTCCACATAAGGGAATATTGTATCGGCATTAATAGTATCAATAAGGAGGAGCGCCTGGGTGGCTCAGTCGGTTAAGCGTCCGACTCTTGGTTTCAGCTCAGGTCATGATCTCATGGGTCCTAGGATTGAGCCTCGCCTCGGTGCTCCACACTTAGTGGGGAGCCTGCTTGAAGATTTTCTCCCTCTGCCCCTTCCTCCCCCAAAACAAATAAATAAATCTTTAAAAAATACATCTCTAAGGACTGTTTACTGGCATGGGAAAGTTTAATGGTGTGAAATAGTTGAAAAACCAAGATTGCCAAATTTTATAAATAGTATTTCTCAACCTAATATATCTAGAAGGGGGAAAATAACACAAAATATTTTAACAGTTGTCAAGTGGTGGAAATATGAAGAGTTTTTATTCTTTTATTTATTTTTTTTCAAGTTCTCCACAATGAGCCCGTATTACTTCAATAATTAGGAAGGAAAAAGTGTCTTAAAGCAGTTTGAGTAGTTTTGTTATAACATTAGCTGCGGGGAGTCTGTGTTCAAAACATCTCTGATCTAACAGGTCTGGAAATGACCTCATTCTCCTCTGCTGATGCTGCTCCTCCTAAAGCCTTTGCCTTCTCATGTAAAGCCAGTTTTAGCCTTCCAGTTCATTAGGCTAAAAATTGAAGTTATCTTTGATTCTGCCCTATCTTTCAGGTCCTGCAGTCCATCTTACTGGTCAACCCAATAGGCTTTACCTTCAAAATATGTTCAGCGTGTGGTCAGGATCTTGCTACCTCTTCTGCTATCCGACCTACTCCAAGCCACTATCATCTCTTGCCATGATTGTGGCAGTAGTCTGTTCTCCGAGTTTCTACCTGTTTCCTTTTTGTCAGTTTTCCACACCACAGCCAGGGCTGTTAAAATATAATGCAGATCAGCCGCTTCCCTATTCAGAACGTTCTGAAGGCTCCTGAGCAAAAGAGCCTACCGGATGTCTCCCTGGTCATCTCTCGGACAATACACATACAGACACACACATACACGTATCCTAACCCCCTTCCTTGCTTTAATTTTCTCTATTTAGCACCTCTCTTCATCTAACATATTATATACTATGCTGATTTATTAATTGCCTTTCTCCTCCCAGTGGAATGTAAGATCTATGAGGTCCCGGGATTTTGCTTAAAATTTTACAGCTGAATAATCTCCAACCCCTAGAACATGGCACATCATTGTTGCTCAATAACTACTTTGGATTCCTACCATTGGTAGGAAAGACATCTTGTTACAGTTGTGTGGTAATTTTTACAGGTGACTTTTCTGAGGTACTTTGCCTCTCAACCTAACCACCTAGATTGACCTGTTTGTATATTGATAGGTTTCTTCCGGATTGTGTTTCTCTTTCATCTAAATCAACAATTCTCAACGAATTTGGAAAAGTCTATTTCTTCCCTAATACTAAGTTCGGTGTTCAGGCTCCTGATAAATTATTTTCATTCAATTGCTCTCATTTCCCAACTTAACCACTATATACTGGGCTCCTATAGTAATCCCAGGACTTCTGGGGATTGGGATTAAAATGAAAAAGACAGATATTGACTCTTACAGAGTTTACTATATCGTGGACAGACATGAATAAACAATAAAATACAACATAACTAATAAAATAAGGGCAGTACCCAGTGTGAGAAGAACTAATGACCAAGAGGCACCATAAAAATACAGGATCAAATGTCAGATACAAAATGTGGGATCTAAGAGAAGGAAGATGAGAAAGATATATATCAACACAGTGCATTGCTCCTTTATCACCGTTTTAAAAGGTAGGGTGACTTTTCCTCACATAGGAGCAAAGTGGCAAAAGGAATTTATTTGGTTTGCCTGGGAGGAAGGAATGCAAGGGATAATGGAAAGAGCAATGGGTTTAGAGTTAGAAGATCTAAATTTGAATCTACCACTGCAATTTGAATCTATCATCTACAAGTTCTAGAAGCTGGTGCTTACCCTCTATGAGTCTCTGTTACGTAATTCCTTTAAAACAAGGAGGGTGGTGGTTAGACCAGCACTAGAGATGATTATCTCTTTTACATTCCTTCCCTGAGTTCTTAAAAGAAGCCTTTCCTTATCCATCTAAAATAGAAACACAAAGGCCAGTTAACATGGTGATACAGGGAATTTTTTAAGGGTTTTTGTAAAATATTTGCCAGCCTGAGACTTGTCTTAACTAGGTCTTGGTTCTGAACATCTTTTTCAGAACCTCATCATTTGCTGAATTTTTCATGTTTTCATCAACTGCTACATAACTATTCATAAATACAAGCAAAATACAGAATTGATGCCTGGATATATTCCCTTTGCATTTCTTTTTTTAGCCACTGTCCTTATTAAAGAGATCAAATCTTCCCCTGTTGCCTTATTTCATTTGAAATTATGGTTTTGAATAAAAAGTCATTATTTAGAATGGAAAACAAATGACTATTTTTCCATTTAATTTTAAACTGACATAAGGGGATAGAAATTAAAATTATTTCTAGCAATCTGTATTCACGTTTTAAATGGAAGCATGGCCCTAGCTTGATAACTTGTGGTGGCTACTGTAGGATTGGCCCATATATTTCAGGAAATCCCACAATCGGCTGTTATATACAATATCTGAATTTCATTTTCTCAGAGGAACTTGTTTGGATAGCTGGAACTTACTCATTGACATATCTCTCCCCTGTCTCATTTCTCTGTTTTTCAGCCTTTGCAACTGGACTGTGACCTTTGCGCCATAGTGTCAAACTCAGGTCAGATGGTTGGCCAGAAGGTGGGGAATGAGATAGATCAGTCATCCTGCATTTGGAGAATGAACAATGCCCCCACCAAGGGCTATGAAGAAGATGTTGGCCGCATGACAATGATTCGAGTCGTGTCCCATACCAGCGTTCCTCTTTTGCTAAAAAACCCTGATTATTTTTTCAAGGAAGCAAATGCTACTATTTATGTCATTTGGGGCCCTTTCCGCAATATGAGGAAAGACGGCAATGGCATTGTTTACAACATGCTGAAAAAGACTGTTGACGTCTACCCAAATGCCCAAATTTACGTGACCACAGAGAAGCGCATGAGTTACTGTGATGGCGTTTTTAAGAAGGAAACTGGGAAAGACAGGTGAGTCCTCTGAGAGGTGGCCTCATTGTCTTCTATGCTAGCTCCTTGCTGAGTTCTTTCTCCAGCTATCAAATGAACAGAGTTATTTTTCAAATTGATGGTTAGATGTTTTTTGACTATTACGATTACTTGATGAGCCAGCAACTAGGCCCCATTTATTCCACCTACACTACCTTCTGTTCTCTCCATTTTGATTGGCTTGAGGATCCAAAAAATACTGGATGCTTCCCCAAGATATCTTTAGATTTCTTATTTAGCTCAATTTGCTATTGGTTAAATTGGATGTTAGCCAAAAGGAAGTACACACATTTCTGTTTCAAAACAGAAATGTTAAGGAACTTCAGGACCTAAACTCCTTTGGAAGTTGCTATAAAAATTTACCTGAGACTACGAAACACAGCAGGCTATTTATTTTCTAATAAGGTTGCGTAGCTTCTTGCATGCAAATAGATCCTATGATCGTGAGCACCATAACTTGGTGTCTAACAGATATGTTGGTATGTTCAGCAGAATACCATATTGAAATTATGCATTACTGAAAATCATTAACAGTGGATTCTTGAAGAGAAATGAGGCATAAATACCATTCACTCAATTATCCCAATTTGCATTTTTCATTGCATCGGTTTTTTTTTTTCCCATAGCCTTCTGTAAGCCACCCTTCCCACTTCCTTTTCTTGAAGCCTGCTCACCTTTTCTTCCTCCTGCTCCTTATATGTCCTGTTTCCTCCCTCTGCTCCCTCTTACCCCCCCTCATTCTGCCATATGACTCTACTGCCTATCACTTTTTCTTTCTTTTTAGAAAGATAAGCAGGATAAGGAAGAGAAGTAGAATTATTAGTTCATATTTCTAGTTCTAATAAAGAACTGTTGAAGGAAAATATTGAAACCAATTGCAAAAGTTTTAAGTTATGTGTGAACTGTACTTATTCATACCATACCATGGATAAATTGAGCATTGGTTGTAATTCCATATTAACAATCTGATTTCCAATATAACAAACAAATGTATGTCTTTCACTCTTCACTATTATCAAATCTAAATTTTTAACTACATTAGAGTATGTGCTTATGGGGGGAAGTTTCTCATATCTCTGGGTGTAATTTGTATGCTGATAATAATTGTAAAATCTTATCTGGCCTGATTCTCCTATTGATAATGTAGTATTTTCTACTTCTGAGCACCCAAAATGCACAACTTCTAATGCAATGAAAGACAGGAATCGCCATAATAATGGCCCTTTTTTGTCAGAGTTCATAAGAAGAATCCCAATGGTTAGGTTTGAATCAGTGTAGCTAAGCTGTCCAAAGAGATAGGCACAAGAGATAAAGGAGTAGGTATGTAGCACAATTCTATATAAATATGACCATCTCAAGGGGTTTGGAAATTTTTGGTCTCTCATTAGCCCAGAGCAATGCAATTAATTAGATATATTTGGTATTTCATTAGTTATAGTCAACCCTCAGGGTATCCCCCAGTCATAACTATATGCCTTAGAATCATTTGGGGCCATCAGAGAAGAGCTCAGCATGCTCTATGCTCCTATGTATTTATATCATGGTGGCTTTTGCTGTGAGCTTTCAGTGAGACAGTACACTGTCACAGATGTGTGGATTGTATAGCGAGAATTGGGAGAGAATTACTTTGGAAGATTCATTTTCCTACTGGCTGTGATGAAGAAAGCTGTTTGTATAGTGGGAAAAAGCTTGCTTGATAAAATTAATTTGGAGGTATCGTTCAATTGGTAAAGTAACCAAAATAAAAGTAGGGGGGAGAAAAGCCAAATGGATTTTTTAATGCTTCCTTCTGTTTTCCTCACTGAGTCTATTCGTGTCTGGTTGCATCATGGAGTATTGCAACAAAATAGAAAAAGACAGCTGTGCTAGTGTTTTAGAAATGAACGGAATGGACGGTTTTGGTAAAATCTGGTTAGATGACAAAAGGTTGACCAAATGGCCTCAAATGACTTGTTATCTGCTCTACGATTTAAATCTGTACCCTAACTTTAGCAGCATGAATTTTATTCTTTAAGGATTTCCCAAAGTGATCTGATGTTCATGGCCAAATTTCAAACAAGAATATTTTTAAACTTTTTATGAAGGAAAATGTCAAAGTAATAAGAGACTAATGGTATAATGAACCTCTGTATACTCACTGTTCAGTTTGAATAATTATTAACTCATGGCCAATATTGTTTCATCTACATCCCTACATTTTCTCCCTCCCCAGGTATTATTTTGAAGCAAATGCCAGACATCATATTATTTCATTCATTAACATTTCAGTATGTATCCCTAGAAGATAAAGAAACACAATGTCATTGTCCTACATAAAAACCAGTAATATTTCTTTAATAACATTTTATAGTTTGTTTTCAAATTTCTCCAATAATCTTATTAATATTTTTAAAACTTAGCTTGAATTAGGATTAGCATTAAGATCCATACATTGCTCAAATCAGGATTAGCATAAGGTCTGTACATTACAATTAATTGATATGTCTTCTATATTTCTCTTAACCTGTGTCTTCCCCCCTTCTCTATTATTGAAAAAAAAAAAACTAGTCTTTATCCAATAGAGTATTCCACAATCTAATTTTTGCTGGTTGTACCACCATGATGTTTTTTGTTCATTGGTATTTCTATATTGAGGCTTTCTTTTTTGGATTCAGGTCATATTGCTTCTTTCCAAGACCATTAGGTGGTACTTCTATCAGCAGGAATACTGTCTAGTTTTCTCTTTTAATGTTAGCAGTCATTAATGATCATTGTCTAAATCCAGTAATTCATTAGATGTTGCAAAATGGTGATATTTCATCATTTTTTTCACTTATATTAGCTGAAACTTTATAAAGAGAAACTTGTCCTCATTAAACATTTTTTTAACCAGAGATAGAAGATAGTACCAATCCTTTATCAGTTCTAAGGCATCGGTTCCCTAGCACCCTCCAAAAGTGACCAGTAAGTTTATTATTATCAATATTTACATATTGACATATGTAACCATATTTGAAATATTTCAATCCATGAGAATTATGTCTTTATGCTCAAAGTGTCCTATTTTGTACTATTGGACCCTCTTCAAATTAGTTTTGGAGTCCTTTTGACATGCCATTAGTAATTTTGGATAGCTGCTTTGATTCCTGGTATTATAGGATGATTCAGGCTCTTCTTGTATATATTACGATGCAAACCTGGATCCAGACATTTCTCCAAAGAACTTTGGTCCTTTTAGTATTTAAGAGAGCATAATCTTGGTGCTGCAGGTGCTCATTGCTACTAGGTCTGTCTTTGTTTCTTGGTCTTTTCACTGGACACAGCTAGTATAGAAACAATGTATGCTGCATTTGTTGTTTAAAGATAAAATCATTATGTGTTCAAACTGAAATTTCCAGTTCAGATTCACGGCCACCGTGTTTTACCTCATGTATCTTACACGTGTTTCTCCTTTTTTGCCGTATTGGCAATCACAGGTCCTAGAGACACCAAAGTAATTACTCATCTGTTTTATCCCACAGCATACACACAACAATCTTAGAATAAGAATGATACCACAATGCACAATATTATTACTGTCAGCATTTTAAGACTATTTAACATCAAAGAAGATGTTTTAATGGCAAGCATTCATGTGGGTCCAGGCTCACAAAGTGTGTGTTCGTTTTATCCTAACAAAAGTTTTACATATTTTTCTCCTGGGGCACCTGGGTGGCTCAGTTTGTTAAACGTCTGACTCTTGATTTCCACTCAGGTTGTGATCTCAGGGTCATGAGATCAAGCCCTACAGGGGGCTCCATGCTCAGCAAGGAGTCTGCTTTGGATTCTCTCTCCTAATTCTCTCTGCCCCTCCGCCTGCTTGCAGGCTCTCTCTCTCTTGCTCTCAAATAAATAAATAAATCTTTAAATAAATAAATAAATATTTTTCCCCCTAAGTAAATAGGAGTATGTCCAGTAGATATACCATTGCTGACATAAGGGAGTAAGGAAAAAGGGATGCCCATTTAATTTGACTTTTGTTGTAAAGCTACTTTGGTTGATTTGCCTGAACTTCCTGAAATTTTTTAGCAGGTGCTCATTCTCATCATTAGGTTTTTAATGGAGAGGTTATGTCACCATTATGGTGTATAATTTATAGAATTAAAAAAAAAAACTGTGTCCCTAGTAGTTAAAATGAATCATGATAGGAAAATGACTATATGGAGTTTCTCAGAGAAAAAAATTGGCTCTCTGCTTGTGTCTTCTAACTGTCAAAATCCTTTTAAAGAAGTATAAACCCCTCCCCCATGTAAGGTGCACACCTTTTTGTTTTTTCCAGTGCTTTTTATTTTTTGTCTTAAGAGATTCTTCATTGAGGAAACATGAAGTAGTAGAAGAAATATATGTAGTGTTAAATTTCCTAGAATGAGTTTAGATCAACTTATAGCATACTGGAATACTTTTTCAAACCAAATGAAATTTAATTTGCTTTCTTATCAGTTACCGACTAAAATTATTTGGCTTGTCAATTGGAAAGAGTGACCTTGTGGGAAAGGCTGAGAGAACAGAAAGAGAAGGCAGCTGTCCTTTCTTTCTTCATGCTCTGGGGCCCAGTTTTCTCTGGAATTCTAGGTCGTTGGGGCGGTGGTCACCTTTGTATTTTTCACTTAACCAAATATTTTTCTGGGAAACAACTTTCAACAAACCAGAAAACTTTGGAATTAAAGGTCTTATATTCAAAATAATCTGGACCAAAATGGATCTTTCCCCCCCTTTGAATGATTGGTATGCATAAATAATATGAGCCCGCTGACATTTACACATTTGCATTAATACATCTTAAGACTGAAACACCCTAGAGGTGATGTAGGGCTGACAGTGGCACATGGCGCCATGCTCAATATCTGAAGAATGTGATTAGGTGTCTGGCCATGTACTGACACAAAATGAATGTGAATGCTCCTAGAGAAGCAACAGAGAGCCAGTGTGAGATATTCTTACCTATAGGCAGGTGGGCAGATGCA